TCTAAGCTCCAATCCAACCCCTTAACATCATATGATACCAGAGCAAGTTGCTCAGGGCTTGATTCAACCTGGCTGTGAACACTGCCAGGGTTGGGGCAGCCACAGCCTCCCTGGGCAACCTGTGCCAGTGTCTCACCACCCTTACAGGGAAAAACTTCTTCCTAACATCTCATCTAAATTCCCCTCTTTCAATTTATTCCCATTACTCCTTGTCCTATCACTGCAGCTCCTAAACGATCACTTAGCACAATGTGTTCTGGGTTTGCCAACTGGAAAATGCTTCCTATGAGATTAAACAGGCTGCCTGTAACTGTGTCAGACTCTGTCCTGGAACAGCCTGCAGTGCTTGCTCAGTTCTGGGCTATCACACAAAGTGACAGGAAGCTCTGTCAGCCAGTCACATCCCACCAGCACCACCAGACTACAAACTCTCCTCCAAAACAAAGAGAATATAATTGGCTTCACAGTTTCCTGTGCTAGATTTGGTATGGATGAACACAAAGCAGACAGACACTAAATAAAGGTGTTCACTGTGCACAAACCCATAACACAGAATCACCATAACATCACAACCCACCTCCCTGATCCCTCAGCACTCAAAACACTCAAGCTCCAGCTGCTCTGAACTGGTTCTGTCTCTCACCTGGATATATTTGAAGGCTCTTTTGGCAGAGGGTTTGGAATAATCAAACAATTTCAGTGTGTAGTCCCTGGAGCCAGACGCCAGGATCTGTTCTGTGGGATGGAAAGCTAAGCAGGTCACTTCATCCACGTGATCATACAGAGTCCTGATCACAGGGTGGTTCTCCATGTTTTGCTGTGCTGTCTCATTCATCATGACCTGCAAAGAACATTCAACAAGTTAAAGAGGAATTTTGACAGGAAAAGGAGGTTTAAGGTTTGCCAGAGCAGCCAAACAGCAGCTCCCTCCCAACAGCACTGGATACACAATCTGTTCTCTTCAGTACTTCAACGTCTGTTACACTGTCAACAAAGAAAATCCCTGGATCTCTGCAAAGGTCAAACAACTTGTTCAAGGACAAACTAGTTTCAGTGCAGAGAACTGGTACGAAAAAACATATCCTCTTTATAAACAGTCCAAATCAAAACAGTGACTGCTGTAAGAACTGAGGGAAGCTGCACCACAACTGCAGCTCTCACTCCTGCAGGCACTGCTGGGAACTGTGTGCAGCCTCTGCCACCTGATAGCTGTCCTGGAGAGAGAGAAAGCCAATCAACATGTATTGTGTGACAGTTCTGAACCACACACTGACACACACAGAGGCCCAGAGTGTAAGTGGGGTCAAACTGAGCTGTGTTCACACAATACTGCAAGGATCAGCCACCAGGAGAAGCAATTCCTGGCTCAGTTCCCTCACTGCTGCCAAGATAACACACATGTACTTATTATAGAAACACAGAATATCCCAAATTGGAAGGGACCCACAAGAACCATCCAGTCCAACTCCTGCCCTGCACACACCCCCCAACAACCCACCATGTGCCTAATTCTTCCTTTTCTTCCAAGGTACTTTATAAGCTGCTGTTGGAAGTAGGAGGTATGTTGAAATAGATATTGAGTCCAACCCAGAGACAGGCTCAAGGCACAGACAAGGCATGAACAGAGCTCAGAGAGTGGATCCAACTCAAGCCATGTGTTACCTCTATGGGCATAGCACTCTTGGCCAACATTCTCTCCGTGTCCAGGATTTTGATGGAGGCATCAGCAGACCCTGTGGCTATCAGCTGTCCATCCCTGCTGTACGTAGCCACACGACAAGGCCCTTTGTGAGATGTGACATAACAAGTCTCATACTCAGAAGCCTCAGGAGACATTGTCTGGACATCTGCATCGAATTCCAAGTCGATCCCTGTGCCTGGAGCGACCGTGTCTGAGCGGCCGATGGCGTATTGCACAGCACTGTCATCATTCTCCATGCCTGCAGGAGAGAAGGGAAGGCACTGACACCACCACAGCTTCTCCTCACACAGGCAGGGGCAGGACCTGCCACAGCTCCAGGGCAGCATTTGGGATAGGGATCTCGGATGGCAGAGAAGGTTTACACACAGCAGCACTCGGGGTGAGAAGTGCTTGAGAAGCACTTGGGCTGCATTAGAGCAGAGCAGAGCTCCCAAGTTCACTCTAGAAATACAACCAGTGAACACTGGAGTGTGAAGCACTGATCCATGCACTGAGAATCAGTTACTGCCCATGGACAGACCCTGGGTAGCTCTTCACAGAGGGAGAAACAAACTCCCTGTGCTTGTTTATACTACATTTGTTTCTACAACATCCTTGCATGAGTTTTGTAGTAAAATCTGATTCCTGCTTAATTGCACTGAAGGACAAAACCAACCCCATAAACACCTATCCCAGCAGTGCCAGTGAGAATCTGAGACTCCTCTTCAAACCCACTTAGCAAATTGTTCTAATTCCTTTATTTCCAGGACGCATTTACAGAACAGAGTTTAGCACTGAGTGGCAACAGGGCAGGCACAGGAGTATCCAGCCCTGTGCCCAGCTGTGCCCATCAGCCCATCAAATGCCACAGAAAAGGCTTTTGCTGCTTTCATCTACATATTCCCGTTTGTACTCCAGACAGACAAAAGGTTCCATGTATTTATAGCCTTGGAATTCAACCAGTTCAGGCAGCAGAACCAGCTGAGCTACAAAGACATGATGTTGTGGCTGGAGCTCTCCCAGTCCTCATCAGCTTGTTCCAAGAGCAGCTCAGGTATTTTCCCTAAGCCCTGAGGCTCTTGCAGAGAAAGGAGCAGGGAAAACAGGTGACACCTGTGCTGAGACTGAGCAGCTTCTTTCCCAGAGGCTGACAGAGAAAGGCCAAAGATGCCAATGGAAGGGCTGGTTCCCTTTCCAACAGTCAGGAAGAGCCACAAAGGAACTATTTCATTCCTTTTCCAACACTGTCAGGAAGAATCACACAGAAACCATTGCTAAGGTTGGCAGAGCTCTGTGGGCCCAATTTTGTGTCAGGTGTGAGGTCTCAGTGATGCTGTTTCGGGAAGGCCTTACCAGGGCCCTGGGCAAGTGTTATTTGTTCCAGAAACCCAGACAAATTTAGACAACACTCAGAGATCTGTTTTGCTTTTAATGCCAAATGTAGAAACAGGAATGTCCTCCAAAACACCAGAGAGACAAAGGCTGTACCAAACCTGCTATTACTAGCCACAACCTGTGCATGGAAGATGTCTCTGCAGTGACACCAAGCTCTGAATTTCCCGAGGATTCCAAACCTAGACTTGCTGTCAGGTTCTGCTTGCAGCTTACCTAACTTAATGAGGTGCAGCAGCTGCTCAGAGGGTGCACACACTGACTGCGGCTTGATCTCATTGATGAGGCCGTTGGCAATGTTGATGTATCCATCATAGAGCAGTTGGCTGATGATGAGTTTGTAGAGCTGCTGTCGGTCCTTGAGGCTCACCTTAGTCCTGTACATTGTGAGCAGAGACTGCCGGGGGGGGGCCTGGAACAGAGACACAGTGACTGCAGGGCAGGAACCAGCACTGCCCTGACACAGAGCACATCTGAGCCCCAGGGAGCAACCAACACGGGGGGGGAAGGAAAGGGAGGGAGGGGAGAAAGAGGGAGGAGGAAGAAAAAGGAAGGCGGGAAGAAAAGGAGAAAGAGCAAGGCAGGAGAAAGAGGAGGGGGAAAAAAGTAAGAAGGAGGAGGAAGGGGAGGAAAAGGAGGAAAAGGAGAAGGA